CGTTTACCCAGAAAAATGGAAAGTGGAAGAGGTAGACAAGCAAAGTTACCTAACACTTAGGATTATACCTTTTTAATGTGATGGAACTGAAATCCTAGCCATGAAAGGCTTTTGGAAACCCACATGGCCTCAGAACATTAAAATCATGTGGGACAAATGAAAGGACATGAGTTACATTGTCAGAGTTTGTAGTTTAAATCTCTTTTCATTTTCTGATCTTAGATCTAGTCTCAGTGCTCTCAAGATCCTCTGTCAAAAACATCCAAAACCCCTTTTCTTATCCATTGCTCCCTTTTATCACTCAAATCTTAGACCAACTCTGCCATATCGAAAATTTATGTGCTTTTACAGCTAAGTCTGCTGCTGAAAATTGGCACACAGAGAAGTTCCGAATGCATGCTGCTCAGGTTCAAGGTACATACCACCAAAAGGCCTCAGTATTCTCTGAACTTGCATGAGAGTTACTTGGCTTGTCATCCCAAGGTATACTTCTCAGTTAGTTTGCCCCATACCAATTTGGCTTTTAGCTAAAATTTGTTCTTATCCTATGATGTCTGCTTTTCCTAGGTATATATATAATATAACTTCAGGATAAGAGACCGTGTGAAGCATAAGCAGCTGAAGAAAACTTCTTCGTATTTTATTACTTTAAGGGTCTGAAAAAAAAAGTATGGTTAGATTCTGCTGGAAGCCAGCTTCTGTGGGTGATGATGGAGATGTAAATGGGAGAGTTGAGGGACTGCTATGGTACAAGGATTTGGGAAACCATCTTTATGGGGAATTCTCAATGGCTGTGATTCAAGCAAATAGTTCATTGGAGGATCGTAGCCAACTTGAATCTGGACCCTTGACTTCTGACTATCTGGGTCCTCAAGGAACATTTATTGGTGTATACGATGGCCATGGTGGTTCCGCAGCCTCACAGTTTGTCAGTGACAATCTCTTCGCCAATGTCAAGAGTATGATATGCCCTCAACTTTTACTATAACCATATGTGTGTTTACTGGAAGAACAATATTTTTTTCTCTGATGCTTTTCGAATGAATTGAAGACTGTGAAAATCCATTAGTATTTTCTTGCTTGACCCCAATATTCTGAAACTAAATCCATTACTTGGACCACAACTGCAAAGTAGCATAATTTGGACCATATTTTTGGCAGTGAAAACTGAAATTGTTAATGATTTTAAACGTAAGGACCTATTTGAAAGTCAAATAGAAACAAACATCCATAGAAGTTTAATAAACTCTTTTCTGTGTAAAGCAGGTTTCGCAGCTGAGCATCAAGGCATATCAGAGAATGTTATACAAAGGGCCTTTTCTGCAACAGAAGAGGGTTTTCTGTCTGTTGTGAAGAAACAGTGGCTAAGCAAACCACAGATTGCATCTACCGGTACATGTTGTTTGGCAGGGATAATTTGCAATGGCATGCTATATGTTGCAAATGCAGGAGACTCGAGGGTGGTGCTGGGGAGAGTAGAAAGAGCAACAAGGGAAACAACAGCTATCCAATTGTCTGCAGAGCACAACGTTAACATCCAAATGGAGAGAGATGAAGTTCGGACAAGGCACCCCTATGATCCACAAATCGTGGTTAAGAAACACAATGTTTGGCGTGTGAAAGGCCTCATACAGGTAAAAATTAGAGAGATTCGTAGCATTAAGTGGTTCCTTGTTGATTGTTGAGAAGGTTATAAAAGCTACAAGAAGAAAAAAGATGAGAATTCAAAGTTAACAGATTTGGCCTTTGCAGGTTTCAAGATCCATAGGTGATGCATATCTGAAGAAACAAGAATTTAACAGGGAGCCTCTGCCGAATAAGTTTAGACTACCCGAACCCTTCTTTAAGCCAATTCTTAGCTATGAACCAGAAATATCATTGCATAAACTTGGTCCTGAAGATCAATTTCTCGTCTTTGCTTCTGATGGTCTGTGGGAGCAACTTAGCAACCAAGAATTTGTGAATATAGTCAGCAATAGTCCACGCAATGTAAGGTTCCTTTTCTTCCAGCAAAGGATATGTGTTTGTGTTCTTTTATCATGCAAAAGTTCTTTCTGAATATTAATGGTTGGTGGTAATTGATGTTGCAGGGTATTGGTAGGCGACTAGTGAAAGCTGCACTTCGAGAAGCAGCAAGGAAGAGAGAAATGAGAGTGTCAGACCTGCAAAAGATAGAAGAAGGAGTGAGGAGACACTTCCACGATGATATTACAGTTATTGTTGTATATCTAAATCCCAAACTCATAGATAATAGCTCTCTATTGGCTTCTCCTCTTTCAATCAGAGGAGGTGGCTCTGCCAATTTTTAGTTCAAACAATCATGCTCTTCCTGTTTACAAAATTGTTACCGAAACGACATAGTCAAATAACATAACATCACACTTCCACAACTGCAGCAGCATGCTTCTCAAGTCCTTCGAGCGAAGCAGTTTGTGATTGATTATTGTTGAAGCTTAAAATATGATCAAATAAGCACTGGCGTTATTAGTCCGACATTGCGCTGATAGAGGAATTTAAGGAAATAGTAAAAATTTACATCTGTGGAAGCTAAAATAAAACAGTTATGACTATAGAGAAGCAAGTTGAAATGTCCCTACTTTTGTTCCTTTGTTGAATTCATTAACGAGACATAGATGTGCTCAAGTTCAAGCAAGGGCTGATAGCAGCTAAGCTTAGTAATTCGCATACTATATTGTCCTTCTAAGCATTGCTGTGAGGTCTTTGAAAATGTGAGTAACGATTACAGTCCAACACACTACAGACACAAAATATGCACTTCACTTTAAGATAGTTGCGCAGTTCCCACTCGCATAAATTCCTATACCCACCAAACTCATCCACAAAATTGTGACTGAAGCATAAACCGCAGCTAGGAATTAAAGCTGAGTATTTCACTCTAAAAAAGATCGTTTAAGAAATTTTTATACTTTGTTACAACTTAGGATAACAACGAGTCGGTTACCGGAACTATCTATCTATTATCGATTCCGTCTAAAAAATCTATCATGTTATATGTTCTGTTACTTGTCCCTCGGATATCATAAAATATATATTTACAGGTTTTTTTATATATACGGATGTATATGAATACCTGTATATAGACTATTTAAATATATACATATTTTAAATAAAATTATTTAAAAACAATTCATTACCATATAAATTTAAATAAAAATTAATTTTAAAATATAATTCAAATAAAATTGCACACTAAAATATTAATACAAATGAATTTGGTCTAAAAAAATTAAATGAGTTACATAAAAATATAAATTTAACTTTTATCAAAGTAACTTCAATTACATCAATCTAAATAAAAATAGAGATATTTGACGTTTTTTAATAATTAATATTTTTTTACTAATTTTGATCATTTTAAATATTAAAATAAAATTAGCCAATAATTATTAATAAATTGTAGATATTTGTGATTGGATGTTGTAATACCGGTGCTCACTCGTCAACAAGAGGATAATTAAATATTCAAATTCACTATTCACATATATTTATTTAGTATCTATAGTAGATTTTACTTATGAATAATTTTTTTTTTCATTCCTAATTAATATTACCAAGCTTCACCTTGAGAGTTTCACCAAATTATGGGAGCAAATGAACACCAAATTATGTGAGAATCAACTAGGGTTACGAATAATAAGGTGAAAATTACAAAATAAATCTTAAAACAATCAAAATGAAGGAAACAACTAAACATAAAATAAATGAAGGAAAACAGCTAAAAGAGACCGAGAATGTACAACAAATTAAAAGTAGGAATAAAAGTGAAAAGAAATAGAAGGAGAAGAAAAACTATATTAACATTCGACAAATATTATTGTGTTGTCTGTTCCTTTAGAATTTAACAAATGAAACGAACCCTAATTGGTTTTGCTGCAATGAAGTTGCAATGTTCCATCAAAATTAGCTTGCACCTTCAGGACTCCAACCTCAGCTATGGGTTAGCATATGTACCCACCAAATTGCTTTGCGATCAAATTTTCAATTTAATTAATGGCGGTGTTTGAGAATTTGATAAATAAATCTTATCCTCTTTATTTATGATTTATAGGACCTAATTTAAAAATTAAATTTAATTCTTTTCATAAGATCCAATCTAAAATATCTTATGCACTAATTATTTTACTCTTAATTATAAATATTTTCTGAATTCATTAAATAATAATGAAAAAGATTACGTTTTAAGTTTGGATAGTCTAAATTTCCTGGTGTATAAATAACATGTGGAAAACCTACTTTAACTATTCATATGAATAGCAAACAAAAATTGAAACAATGAATATATTAGTGATCAAAGAGATTAAAGAATTAAAAGTAAATGAATTTTTTTTAAAAAAAATTTAAAGGTGTCTTGTATAGGAATATTTTGCAAAAGAGACCAAATATTATGAACTTTTTCTCACCTCACGAGCCAACATTGAAGAAAAAAATTGTAACGAAAATGTCTTACTAACTTGTGTTTTAAAAGTACTTACTGAAAGACTCCCACACAATATTTTGCATTTCGCCATCATACAATCATTTATACGGACACTCAACCTTCATTTCTTTTTAACAGTTGATGTTCACAATTATATAAAAACCTATTTTACTAAAATTTTAAACCATTCAAAAGATATGAAATATGATAATTATGAATTATAGATATTACAAAAATAAAATTATTAATAAAACTACTTACACGACAGTTAACTACAAACCCTAACATGCTATTATTGAATAAAACTTGAAAGCCACAACTATATTGTGATCCTTAATTTTATAACTTCTAATAAGATCTAACAAATAAAAACTGTCAACATATTTATAACTTTGGAGGCCTTTGATTGAGAATTAGAAGGAAATTCCTAGATTCTAATGGATCTCCCTAGACTATATTTTGAAGGGTATCTTAGATGGCGATGCTACATAAAATTTATTGCATTTCAAAAATGCTATGCAAAATCTGGCAAGGTCGTCTTCTAAGTGTGTGTGTGTGTGTGTATCGCACTATGTAATTGTCGTTGAATTCATTTATACTAGCTAGCATAATACTTTATCCTCCAAACATTGGAACATACGAAAAGCTCAAATATAAATTACAAGGGAGTGATATTAAAACAATATGTAAAGAGTTCCCTCCACATCCAGCCCTACAAATGTGCAACTCTAAATTATGGCAATCAAGTAAACTACTAAACATCTTCATCGGGTTGACTTATCTTAAAGCAACAACAAAGATGATAAAAATTGGAAGCCACAGCCTTCAAAATAAACCCATTTTTAAAACACCCATTAAAACGTTTACACAATCCAGCATCGCCTTCAGGGTTTCACTTCGAATATTCAGCTTACCAGTATTCACCCTCATTTTTTTTCTTGAATGCCAGAAGATAATACCAGGAACTTGAGCTTTAACATTCAGCTGATCCATTAAAGTTGTGCACTAGCTCTAGACCAAACAAATTAACATATCTACACGCACCAAAACATAATCCATTGATCCATTCTCGAGAAACATGCTTCTAATCCATGCGATGTGCATTAATAGCTACAACTCTCATAAGATCTAATCACGATGAAAATCTAAAAATGGCTAATGACGCATAAACACACATTAACAAGTTAAAGAACACTGATCCAAGAAAAGTAATTCCACACACAAGCCACAGTAGTATTCCCATGATCCCCCCCCCCTCTTCCTGGATTGAAGAGCAATTACTACTATAGCCATTGGAAAATCATAGAAGAGAAGTGAATCAAACATTACTAATGACGACATATTAACTAACTCTAGCCCCCACTTCCCCCACAATGCCCAAAAAATGTAAACAGCATATAACAAGTTTATCCAGCGCACATGCCTCTATTTGAGGGCATATTTTCTTATTCAATCATCATTACTCAACGACATATTAAGCAACATAATTTTCCTAAATAGTAGACTGGATCAGCATGATGTTGGATTTAAAAAACTACCTGGTACTACCTTCTGGCACAATGACAAAGGCAAATTTCATAAGCAATGCATTAGAAACAGAGGGTGGATGAAATTTCAAAAGCTTTGTTCCTGCATACCTTCGATCATTAGACTTTTAAGCTGTAGATTCCAAAATTCAAAACTTCCGCAAATTTTAAGATAAGTAACCCAATGAAGATGGACAAAATTACCCCAAAGCTGTCACCTATGAAGCCAATACTAAAATAGAAAACAAGTTTCTTCAGATCACTTGAATCTCTTTTATCTCATAGCTAAAGGCATCAGCAAACATATTAAAGACGTGTCCAGGATTAATACGCTGAAAAGTAGAAATGATGTGGAGGTTGGTCTGCAAATCTTGAACTGCTAAAAACTAAAAACTGCAGAAAAAGTCAAGGGAAAAATCTCATGAATAAAATTTGAATTTAACATCACAAATCAGGCTAGAATTGAACACACGCAACATACAAAAACAAAGGATGGTATAAGGAGCAAAGGATCATTCACTTACAAGAAAATTTCCTACAATTAACTACGCAACCAGTCATTCAGGTACCTCCTCCAGCTTTGCCTGCAATAGCAGCCTTCAAGTTGGAAACACAACAAAAAGAGCAATCACCACAACAATATCGGACTTCATTGATTCCCTTCTCACTGTTAATTAGAAGAAACAGTTCTCAAAGTAATTTTATTTTTCATTGCTTGGAAATCAAATCCTTCATCCAAAATCTAATAAGTTTGGAAAATTGTTTCCAGAATAAATGATATTAAAACTAAAAGAGAGAAACTAGGGTTACGTTTTCTATTGTTCTTTAGTTTTTCATTCTTTCCAACATTTTCCTCAATTACACTAAACTTCGTGTCCTGCACCATCTGTCTGAACAACCATTTATTAGTTGTGTTTTGAAAACTAAACTCTGTTTCGAAAACAGAAATTAAACAAACAAACCCGTAAATTTGTCTCTATATAACTCAAAGCATTGGAAGTGACCAAAAGTTCTTACCGGCTCAATGTTTCCTTCGCCATTACCACTAGCTATAGAAGTTGATGATGAATTCGCAAACCTGGGAACAGAAAATCGAAAGACCTAATAAGACTCCATGCATGGTCGATCTCTTAAGCAGCATGACATGGGAAAACCAAATTATGCCAAGCACCCACCTAAGTGCTCTAGCTTTCCTTTTATCTTCTTCTAGAGGATCAACTTTGGAAGCGGGTGCAAACCTAGCAAGTCGTGCTTTCTTCTTTGCCTCTTCATCTGCAGCTGTAGTAGGACTAGGCATTCCAAATCTGTGAAGCAGGATGAGTAACAGTGTTCATTTTCATTCACAGTGAAAAATAAAAGTTCGTGTCAGAAAAAAAAAGGGAAACTTAAAAGTGGAACCTCTCTGCCCTGGCCTTCCTCTTCAACTCCTCAGATTTTGACGGCTCTGATCCCTGAGAAGCGGGAGCAGTGCCAAACCTACACGTGAAAAAAACACTCAACTGAGATAAAACTAATATTTGATACAGAAAATTAGGGTATATAAATCAATATATGAACACCGACAGAAAAAAAAAAGAGGATAACAACACCGACTATAGAATGTACATTCAAAAACCAAATTGTTGAAAAGGATGGAAATTGACCTTTCGGCTCGGGAATTGCGCTTCTCTTTCTCGGAGAGCTGGACGGAAATGCCGAATCGCTCGGCGCGGCGAATCTTCTTCTGAATATCAGAGAGCGGGGCATCGTTTCCGGCTTCGGGCGGCGGAGAAGTCTTGGATTCGGCAGCCTCCGTGGCGTCGGTATCTTCGGCAGCCTCCGTGGCGACAAGAACTGGATCTGGTAAGGTGGGGTCTAGGGTTTTGTTAGGGTTTTCCGGTGCAGGGTTGGCGTTATTGTTGTCAGTGACTGTTGCCATTGGAAGGGAAAGATCAATCGAATAATCAAGGGAACGAACGGGGAAGCTGAGAATGAAACGCAGCGAAACAGAGTTACAGCTGGCAAGGGATTCCTTTCTCTTCCGAAGACAAAGGGAAATTGTTCTGTCGTTCCTTTTCTAAGTTGCGAAAATCAGCCAAATGATTTTCTATTTATTATTAGAGCCGAGGAGCACGATATATACTTACCTACGCCTACATTTTCATTTGTGTGGGCTACTGGGCCTGGGCTGGAGTAATAAATGCAAAACAATGTCTTTTTTCTTCCTGCACCCCATAATTTCTTAGAGCACCTCATTATTTTAAAAGATGTTGTGTTTTAGTTATTTTTTATTTCAAACAAAAGTCTTTGTATGGGACCATCGAATTGTTTAATCTGTAGCTTTAAGGCGTATTTGACTTTTGTGATTTGATTTTTTGTGCTCATCTCAAAATAAACTGAGTAAGAATTAATTTATAAAATTTATGATTAATGGCATAATCTCTGGTTTTCACTCTAAGTGGGATTTTTTCTTATCTCTAAAGGATTCATCTAAACGAGACGTGGAGTTGCAAGAAATACGAGACTCTAATCAATTCTTTATTAACATACACAAAATAAAACTACATAGGTGCTAAAAAAATTATGATGACTAGTTTTAATTCTTAAATTTGTCTAACGAATTAATTATATATTTATAGGAATTAAAATACCTGTTAGTCATTATTTTAACTTGTTTATATTTTTGTTGTATTTTAATCTTATCTATTGAATGTTTTGATTAAAGATATTTGAACATTTTTTTTAATTTAATTTTTCATTCTTATTTAGTAATATATACAAACAAGTATACCTTTTTTATGCACTTAACTCTATTATTTCATATCATTCATTTCATTCATTGTATATATACTACTAAAAACTTAAGGTGATAATGTAATAATGTATTAAAATTTTCAAATCAAAAATAAATAAATATAAGTAAAATATTATTATTTTTATAATTTCCCAATTTAGTAGTATAAAACTACTAAAATATGACGTACATAAATGAAAACTTACAAGAAACTTTGATCTACTAAAATAAGATATCGTATTCTTCACATACCAAAGATTGTCTGTTGGTTTTTCTCTCAATTAAACGTTGAACCCCCTTAAGGATGTCCTCCCTAAGCTCACATCGTTTAGGTTATCATCGCAAAATAGAAAACATACACAAAGATAGACAACACATATGCAAGATAAGGTAGTGGATAAACAATTCATCTTAATCAAAGAAAGTTCCATCATACATTATATTACACCCACAAGATAAACATTCATCCTAAACATGTCACAAGCTTAGACTTAACCATCCAGATACAGTATGAATGTCGAGCTACGGTAGTTCATGCACTTGTGATGGCCTCCAACAAGACCCATTAAAATCCAAATACAAACACCAACATATGTCATCCACAAGATTAATCCGTCAACACCTATGTTCCTAATCGTTGACCATAGATTAGGACTTCCTGCTACTCTCTATCACATAACAATTCATCTCTACTTGATATTGAGGTTATTGAGAGCGTCACGATAAATCTCAAATTAACATCATACATTCATACAATAACAACAATACAAGGAACCACCATGTAACTCCTCTACGACGATCATGGAATTACGTTCATCAACACCATTCAACTCATTCACAAACTACTCAGCACAATATTCATATGTAAAATTTTCATTCACACAGTGTACCAATACATGAGACGGTTGATAATACATCAAAGAACTAGAAACACGCTTACAAGCCATAAAAAATCACAAAACAACACAATTTTCTTTATAGCACCTTGATACCCATATTAGGCAAGGAAAATGGCTTCAAAACCCTTACCAACATTTCCTGAAGGGTCAAAAACCCCCCAAAATAACCTAAAGAACATCCAAAACAGATATCTAGAATCCTGAAAACCTCCTAAAACTAGTGCAGTGACTCTTAGGGCGTCCAAGCACGGGCCGCATTGGAACAAGGGGTGCTCAGGCGACATGACAACACACAGAACACTTCAAAATTGACTTTTGATGCACTTGAGACTTGTTCTATTGATCAAAGGGATTCTCTAAACATTATAATTATGGAAAAACACATTTATAAGTAGAAATAAACATCCATTTGATCATTAGATTCAATACTAGTGCATCAAACTATTTTTGACACTCCAAAAACACCTAAACTCGTATTTTCACATTCTACACCGAATTTCTAATTAACCAAATAACATATTACAAAATATAACATATAACCCATAACTTCAAATTTAAAATCTAACTAGTTAAAATTCCAAAAATTGAAACTAAACCTATACAAAACTCAACATTTTAACTACTAATTCATTTTATCTTATATTTCTGTTAACTAAGAACCTAATCAAGTTTCAAATGACCATAACATATCCAAAAAAAAACGCAATTTCTCTAGTTTGATCCCCATAATTTGATCATTCAATTAATCATATGTCATGTGAATATTTTTTGTAGCTAGAAAACAAGAAATTATCATGTGTGAATTTGATACTTCATAAACATCGGAATACAATCAAATGTAAAGTGCTAATAAGAAATTTTCCTAAGACGACCAAAATTAGCAAAGAGTGAAGAGATTTTTGCTTTCAATCACTTCAAGTTCAAAGAAATGAAATGTGAAAGTGATCGGTAATGAGTCATTTCCTTTTTAATATTCTACTTTTATTAATAATTATGTACCGTCCCAATTATGGGTACGGCTTCTTCTAAGTAGAAGCCCGAACAAGATATATCTTTTATTGGTTTAACTTTTGGTATTGCTTTTAAGAAGTAGAAGCATGAACAGTTACCCTTAAATTTGAATATATGTTATTTTGTGTTTCGTTAATTGTGTCATTTTTTTGGGTTGACATTCTATCATCAATACATAGCTCATCTTATGAAATCATGCCATGCTCTAAAATATTATGTTTTTTCTTTATCTAATTTGATCGAGTTCCTATTCTACTGAGTAATCAACGTGTGTTCATTTTGTGAACATAAATATTATCACAGCTACAAGTCTGTTTTTAATTAATGTTGTATGGTCTTGTTTTATTTTTTGAATAAAACACTTACCACATAAGTGTAAAATTCTTAAAACATAGTTCTTTTTACATTTATTTTCTTTGGAAGAGAAAAATTGAAGCAGAGATCAACTTGTTTTAGAATTGTAAAATTTGTCGAAACCTTATTGGACCACTATTGTGGTGACCAATACATTGACTTCCAAATTTTTTAATTTTAATTCAATGAATTCGATCAATTCAAACTTTATTAAATATTACTAATTAATAAAAAAATTGTTGTTATATATATTAAATTAAATTAATTGGGTATTCGGTGGGCTGAAATGGTAAGTAATATATGGGTTTCATTGCTATTCAGTGGTCTAAGATTCAAAGTTTATTAAATGTTGCTAATTACTAATAAATAATAAATTTGTTATATATTATATCAATTATATTAATATAATTTTAAATACAGGTCTATATTGTACCTTAAATTGTTGTATATTACATATTATATATTATATATTAGACATTATATTATATATGTTATATATTAATATTAATATTTGACGTTATTTTATTTTGTTAAACTTTTTTAATGTATACACGTGCGTGTCGGTATAGATTTATTTTCTTTAAAAGATAAAAACCGTAAACTTTGCTCTGAGATTGATTGGACTGACAGTATAGGCAATATATGGGTGGCTGCTACTACCTGCACCCCATTTTTTTTCATGCACCCCATTTTTATAAAATACTCATTTTACCTTTGAATCAATGAATGAATCAATAATAAAGTGACTCCTAATTTTCCCTTTCCCATTTACTTGCACAGCATCTACCTCCTTAATTCCTTCTCTCCACAACCCCGTAGAATTTAAACTCCCATTTTACCTTTATATTAAAAAAACCCTAAAATGCAAATCTGCTACCCACACAACGCCCCCACCTCCGGATCCGAAAATAACTTACAGGGTCAGGAATAGAGCCTAGAGGTGTGTGTAAAAATGAAATTCCGGACTACGTTTTAGGATTGGGTCTCTTCTCTTGTAATTGATATCTACAATAGAAATCCCTAAATTTTAAACAAAAAACCTTTTTCTAGTGTCCTTTTGAGGTCTTTCTTTTGATATGGGGATTTTGTGAATGATCTACATTCTTAAAAGACTTAGGAGCAGATATCTTGCCTCTCCTCACAACCTCCTCTGCTAATGACTTCAGAGGAACTGTAACATCCAAAGGAAGAAGCACCTCTTCCAACTCCTGCCAATCAAGATCTTCTGAGTCCCCATCTTCATAGTGTACCCTGTACCACCGAGAATCTTTGTCGTAATCAGTTACTCTACCTGAGTAATATCTTCCCATAAACCACTTTCTCACTTCCCTCCCTTCAAACCATTCACCCAAACCTGAACCCACATTTGTTTCTATTTTGCTCGGACCATCACGGAGAGCAATAGAGCAGTCACTAGGGATTATGTCAGGCACCCCATCAATTACAATAGCAGGTTCTCCAGGTACCTCGTAAACCCCAAATTCTGAATTATTTGACTCCTGCTTAATTCCTCTGCCCTCCATTTCAAAATTTCGTTCGGAAAATCTACAGAAAACAGTAAACAATTAATCATATAGGAAATGATAATATTGTGTCTGCACTCCAAGACTCCCTGGAGATTGTACCTCAGAACATGATTTCACAAAATGTTTGGCAAAATAATTATAAATGAAATGATAAATTTGGTCTACACTCCAAAGCTCTGCGGAGAGTGTGGCTCAGAACACAATTTAACAAAAGTAAGTGTTTTTAAAAACTAATCAAAGAATTAAACAGATCATATAAAACATTCAGTTACTGCGAAAAAATCAAAGCACAAGTGAGACATAGGATATAGAGACAATACAACACAGAGAGGAATATGGCAAAATTAAATATTGGATATGAAAAATACTGACTTTTTTCAAGTTATCAATTTCAATAGGAATAATAATTTATCGGTACACAAACTTATTTAACCCTTTTGTGCACTTTGATCTCGTCGTATCTAGAGTATCATATTCACATTTCAATATATCTACCTTTTATTTGAAGATCAAATTAAAGATGCATATAATATTATAAGTGTTTGGATAAACATCAAGCTTGTCGACAAGTTGTTTTCCTAGAAAAAATAAGACTTCTTCAATTCCATTTCTTTCTTGGATTCATGTAAATGTCATTTCTATCTTTCTATCTCATATCAACCATTAAATCCTGATATAAAGTTCACCTACTATAACCAACTTATTTATTTGAGTTAAACTACTAGCATCTTACCTTATATCAAGAGTTCTTACCCTATTTTTCTTCATCTAAGCACAAACATTTAAATGAGTTTAGGGAGATAAGAAATAAATGATACCATTTATACAAGTTAATTGTTTCACAGTAACTGTTTAAGTTGATTTTTCATGAAAAAATAATTCAAACAGTCACTAGGCTGATGATCTATTTAAATTCAAAATGGTCAAGTACATGAGACATAACTCCAAACAATTTTATAGTTAAGCAGTGGAAACACACGGGCATAAGTGTTCTTTCTTTTTTATTCAAACAAAAATTATTAAACTACAAATAATTATAAAAAATTGTATATATTTTTATTATTAAATAGTTTTTTATTATAAATAATTATTTGAGTTAAAAAAAGTAATTATTCAAAAGATAAATAGTAAAATAACTATTTTTAATTTATAAATTAATTAATTTAGAGAGATTATTGAAAGAGTAAAAATAAAAAATGTAATTGTTTTAATTTAAAATAACAGTTATGAAAGGATAAAATTGAAAAAAAAATGTGTATACCTAAAAAAATACGAATCCTCCATAGTTATAGATAATAGAATACTCAATTATAGAAATGTTTCCAAAATTTTAAAATTTAATCCATTATAAATTTTAACTAAACCTATAATATTAACCTAAAATTATATAAGAAATAAGATCATATAAATCAACTTACACTGCCTTCCTCTTTAACTCCTCAGTCTTTGAGGGCTCTGATCCATGCCAAGCGGGCCCAGTGCCAAACCTACACGTTAATAAAATGCTCACTTGAGATAAACCTAAAATTTGATACACAAAAATAGGGTATATAAATCATTACATGAAAACCGATAGACAAAAGAGGATAACAATACGAACGATTGAATGTATATTTGAAAAACAAAGGAATGGAAGAGGTTGGAAATTGACCTTTCGGCTCGGGAATTGCACTTCTCTTTCTCGGAGACCGGAGCATCGTTTCCGGTTTCGGGCGGCGGAGAAGTCTTGGCTTCGGCAGCCTCCGTGGCGTTGGTATCGTCGGCAGCCTCCGTGGCGTCGGTATCGTCGGCAGCCTCAGTGGCGACAACGACTGGATCTGGTAAGGTGGGGTCTAGGGTTTTGTTAGGGTTTTCCGGTGCAGGATAGTTGTCATTACTGTCGGAAACTGTTGCCATTGGAATGTAAAGATCGATCGAGTAATCTAGGGAAAGAACGACAAAACAGAACAAACGAGGAAGCTGAAAATGAGAATGAAACGAAGTGACACCAAAACGCTGCCAAGGATTCCTTTCTCTTCCGAGGACCAAGCGGAGGTTTTGTTGTGTAGTTCCTTCTCTAAGTTGCAATGAGCAAAATGATTTTCTTATTTATTATTACAGTTGTATGACATATATACTCACATATGTCTTCATTTTCATTTGTGTGGGCTACTGGGCCTGGATAACTAATCCAAATATAAAATACTTTTACTTTCTCAACCCCACAATGTTTTCACGCACCTCCGGATTTCAAAATGACTACTTTATTCTCTGTAAATCCACTTTCAGATTTCAAAAGTTTTCAGAACAAATTTTATGAAATTTTTGAAATAAGATTTTTCGAACAGAATTTTCACAGTGCTTTGATACATTCCAAAATAAGCTTTTCTAAATAAAATTTCTGAAACAAGTTTCTTTAAACGCATATAATGATAAGAGTTTCCTGGAACAATCCATCAGAAAGTTCTTTTTAGAATACATGAAATTCATTTTAGAACGAACTTTTTTTGTGTTTTTTCTTTTCTTTTCTTTCTATGGTATTTTCTCTCTTATTATTTCTTTGCAGCAACAACAATTATAATGATAATAACAATGACAATGGTAACAAAATAATGTGATATAGCAGTGAAGAGTACCTTCCTTTTATTTATTAGTATGGGATACAACAAGTAATAACATGTACAAACTTTTATTCATCATGTTTATTAAAGTTTGTTACTTTTTAAATTATTATTTCGAATTACATATAAACATTTTATATCATCTATATTGCAAAAGAGTGATTATTATAAATTATTTTAGGTAACTATCCTGTTATAAGTTGATCTATTTTACGTAGTCATAAATCGATTTGTTTTTACTGATCATAAATTGGTTTGTTTCTACAAACCATAAATTAACTTATTTTTTTTCAATCACAAACTGACTTGTTTTTATTGGACTACAAACTAGTTTGTTTTTATTGAGCTACAAACTAGTTTGTTTTTATTGAACTACAAACTAGTTTGTTTTTATTGAGCTACAAACTAATTTGTTTTTATTGAGCTACAAACTAATTTGTTTTTATCTGATCACAATCTAACTTGTTTATATTTAATCACAAGTTGACTTATTTATATTCGATCACAAGTTGACTTGTTTGTATCAAGTTATATATAAATAATTTATAACTATGTATAAAGAATATAAAGAAGATGCATTTTTCTAGTTGTCCTTTTTTGTTTTTTCAATTTTACTTTCTTAATGACTACTTTTAAATTTAAATAATAATTTATAATAATTTTTTTTTCAGTTTCATTATAGTAACTACTTTATTGAATTGAAATTATTAGTCATCTTAAAAAATTTATTTATTTCTTTACCAACCAGTTTTTCAAATTTATATAATTACTCATAATAAATAAATTATTTACATAATATTATTTATAATACTTTTTTTATTTCAATAGCTAAAACGTATTTTTATCTATAATTATATATATTACTTTATGCACCTTTCTATTTATTCAATTTTATCCATTTAATTATTATTTTTAAAATTTAAATAATTTGCAGATATTTAAAAAGTTATGTGTTTACTAATTATTCATAATAAAAAGCTATTTTCAATTTTTCTATAATTATATATAAAGAGGATATATAATTATATATTTGATGTAACTTGATCTATTTTAACTTTTAATCTTATTCGTCTCGAACTTAGATTAATTTAGTCGAACCTTTAATTTAACTTAATTCGTCTCAAAATAATGTTGTATGTTAAATTAGAAAACAAATTTTAGTTTAGTAAAAAAAAAAAGTAGTTCAATTTAGTTTAAACAAACTATTTTTGGATTATTGTAGTTTTTAACGGTGGAATTTATTTTACCTACTCCTAACTTAAAGGTTATTTATTTATTTATTTGTATATCATGCTAACTATCACTTTTTAACATAAAAGCTCCTTCCTTATAACCAACTTATTTATTTTACTTATTTGAACTCCTAGCATTTTACATGTATAACAACTTATTACTTTATATTTCTTTTTTCATTATCCAATCAAACTGGGAGATAGAAAAGAAAAGCATAAATTGTTTTTATAATGTGTTTAAATAAGACATTTCCATATTCTCAAATTTATATTTTTCTTACTTTTATGATTTTAATATTAATAATAGTAATTTATATTTTATCATTTTTATTATATTATACTATTTTACTGATTATATTTATTTTATTATAAAAACATAATAAAAATTAATTATATAAATATTATAATATACATGTAAATATAATAAAACATGTATATAGCATCGAATTATATCGTTTTCATGTTATTTTACATTGTTTTTTTTAATCTTTATTCGTATATTTAGACTTCTTGAGTTTTTATTGTCGAAAACTCATTGTCTTAATGGGTTAAGGTTGTATTGTATCTTTGTGGACCCTTTGAATAAAGATGAGGAAGCTAATAATATATATTCCTCTCTTATAATACCAACAAAAACATTAAAGTCTACTATGGTTTCACAATCCCTTTTTTCATATACAATCAATTACCAACATATTTATAATGATATCTAAATTAATCAATAATATATTGATTAGTAATTAAGTAAGTGGTTAATGATTGTAATTCAATATTGGTTGTCAAATATTATTACTCATTTTTCCAAATGATGGTCCAACATGACTTTTAGGAGAGAAAAGTAAATGGAATGGTAATAGAATATAAAAAAGTTATAACTATTTATTAATAATGTATCGCGTTCCATTTATGATTATTTAGCGAATATATTTATAAAGTTTATAATTGGCTAAATTTCAAAATTTTGGAAGCGTGTTTTATTCTGTGTATATAATTCACTGAAAGCATTACATGATCAATCATAAAATTGTTTAGAGTTATCTCTCAAAAGCATTTAATTGATTTCTAATTTAAATAGTGGATCAGTTTAGTAATTGTTAAAATTACTTTTTCATGAAAAAAATCAATTACTTCGTATGAATTATGAATTACTTCTAGGATGAAAGATAGGGATAGAGAAAGGGTTGGAAAGAAAGGACTTTTCAAACAAGACTTTAAGTCCCACCAATTCAAATTATGTTTAGATTCTTAAATGGGTATGAAAAAAATTCAACATTTTTATATTTCATAATGTTAAGACATTTTTTGGTGAAAGAAAAAGTTCTCCTATTATTATATATATTTAGCCAAGATTTGTTGCTTATAGTAAATTTTCAGGTCTTCATAGGCAACTCAATTACCAGAACTAAGGTTCTATGAGAAGACATAACGTCACCGGATTCTCAAATCTCAATGAACCTAATACGTGCCGCCACCCACTATATAAAAAACAATAATTTCGTCACTGCTTGCGACTTCAAACTTCACAGTATAAATTATGCCCTATAAATGCAAACACTCTCTTCCAAGTCAGTGCATTCTGTATTTGCTATTCGTGTCGTGTGTTATTTCATCACTTTTCTTAAAACAGAAAGATATACATAAATGGCAACTTCGTAAGATATATCATATGTTTCTTTACATTAATTCTAGTGTTTTATTAATTATACCATTTCATCTTTTCTAAGCTTGTTTCAATGCATAGCGTGTTAGATGTTCGGCCTCCTGCATTAACTTCCATCTCTGAACCACTCCCATTTTTTGATGGAACCACAAGGTGCCACTCATCACCCCATTGTCCATTATTGTTCTTCTTTGTATAGATATAATAACTTAATTATGAGCGTGTAATTTGGATGGTGTTTGTAGGTTGTACATTTGCTATCTGTGCCCTTATGCACAACGTGCATGGATAACTAGAAACTGCAAGGTTTTTTTCTCACTTGTACCGTTTCTTCAGTTTTCAAGTTCTGCTAAGTCTAGTTCTTCTGATATATATATACAAACTCTCTGGTTCTTAGAAATATCAATGCAAGTCTTGTTTCTTCTTTTTTTGTTATGTAGTGATGATTTGTGAACTTCAGGGACTGCAAGACAAGATCGAATTGGTTCCTATTGACCTCACAAATAGGCCTTCTTGGTATAAGGAGAAAGTGTACCCTCTTAACAAGGTACAGAGACATGATCAGTATTTTTAACTGGAGGAAACTATTTGATTCGGTTGATGGATCATAACACGTTCTTCTTATGTTATAGGTGCCATCGTTGGAGCACAATGACAAGGTTTTAGGAGAAAGTCTTGATTTGATCAGATATATAGATGCCAACTTTGAAGGGCCATCTCTATTTCCAAGTGTAAGAAATATACATCAGTTGTATACATTTATCTGTGTAATTTGAAAGGGAAGTCATGACTCTTGATGAGTGGAAAATTTTAGAATCCTGCCAAGAGAGAATTTGGAGAGCTAATGATATCCCATGTTGATACGTTCACCAGTGGCGTATACTCTTCGTATAAAGGAGATCCTGTACAACAAACCAGTGAGATCTTAACTTTTTTTTTTCTTCTGAATTTAAGTAAAGAAAATGAGAATACAGAATTGTTGAATGGTTTAAAATCGACAATTTGAATCAGGTGCTGCTTTTGATTACTTGGAAAATGCTCTTGGTAAATTTGATGATGGACCATTCTTTCTTGGCCAATTTAGTTTGGTAAGTTGAAATTCTCATCAATCTTGAAATTTTGTTCAGTCGTGTTGATTTCACTATAAAGTTGTATGAAAGTTAGAACCTTCTGTGATCTAGTCAGTCATAGAAGGAAAAAAAGAGATGTAGTCATATCAGATGTAATGAAAAGTTTTGTTATATCATAGTATAATAATTTCCTCATGATTTTAAACACTGTGGTTATGATCAGGCGGATATTGCCTATGTTTCATTTATTGAAAGAATCCAATTGGTTTTTTCTGAAATTTTTGAGCACGACATCACAGCAGGAAGGCCCAAACTAGCCACATGGATTCAGGTTCACATTTCTGTGCAATCCTAAAGACATTGACTTTTTAAATTAAGATTGCATGATTTGGAAATGGAGTGGTCTATTTAAATAAGGCCTAACCATCTCCACAATTCTGATTTGTTTATATTTACTGATTCTAAGTTAACTGTGATTGCAGGAGGCTAATAAGATTGAGGGATATAAGCAGACAAAAGTAGACAAGGAGGAGTATTTGGAAGCTTTCAAGATAAAGTTTTTGGTATTATGAACTTCAACTAGTCAAAACTTTGTGTTGCAGTCTTGCTTTTGCTAGTCTGCTAACTGTTTATGTTTATACTTTTGTAGGCTTAAAAGTGAAAGTGTGTTGCTGTTGCACTGGTATTTAAGATAAAGTGAATAAAGATTTGTTTCAATTTAGAAGATGGTGTGTTGCAGTTACTTTGATTTCAGACTTTTGTATGGGACCATCAAATTGTTTAGTCCCGAATGTAATAAACTTAAGACGTGATCTTTTGTTTCCAAATTAATTTACCTTTAAAAAATGAAACGATTTATAAAATTTATGACTAATTACACACACACAACACAAAGTAAGAAGTTTCTTCATAATTAATATACTACAAATTGATTAATATATTTCCTCTATACCTCTGTTTTTTTAAGTGAAACTGCTATATTCGAGACAAGAACATTTATATACAATAATATTGTAAATAAATTCAGAATTTTGTTTTCATGGTGTAAAACAAATCGTAATTAAAATTTTCTTCGATTTAGGAGGGTGATTAAAAAGATGTCATGTTCCCATTGGAGGTGCTTCTTCCACTTCTTATTCTGCAACTCACAGGAATGAAATTCCTTCCTCTCTTTAAAAATAATCGCTTCTCCACTCCATGACCTAATCAAAACACTATGTTAGCCAATAGTTATAATTCTTGGATACAGGGAACAAAAGTCTCCATGAGAATGAATATATTTTCTCAAATCAAAACCAACATTAATATACCTGCACATACCAATTCTGTGGACATATGCAGAGCCAGAATCAGACAAAATCATAACACAGTTCACTCCTTTCAAATCCATGCCCCGGGAAACCACATCAGTGGCAACCAAAACCCATGTTTTTACAACTCTGAAGTTATCAACAGCATTTTCTCGCTACATAAAAATGTATGAGATCAGGATTCATAAATTACAAAATAAAAAATACTAAATGAAAAAGTCTGCTATAGAATTGGAGTACCTAGGTTGAAACGAATACCGGCGAATAAAAACGATAAGTTGTTGGCCATTGGCGAGTGGAAGAAAACGAATGATTTAGGGGTTTCTGTAATGATTGACGGCTTAGCAGTTCCCCGTTAATTACTATTAGTATAATATAAAATGGGAATAATGATCAGATTTCACTCTTAAAATTATGTGTCATCGACTCATTGGATTAGTAAAAGATCATTATAGATTTTGGAAGGATTATAACAATTGGTGAATGCCTACCAAATGTTAATGTCTAACGTCTGACAAGGAACATAACCATGATCCAGCATCTGCAACCATAAATCTTCCAGCATACTGTAGATTTTGCCGCTCTGTGGATGAGAACTGTCTTCTGAGTAGAAGACGTGGATCTGATCCTTAAATTCTATCCAACTTTGACCAGGAACCTTCTGTACACCCATTTGTTTCATAAAATGCCGTAGTCTCGCAACTTCTTTCCAGTTGCCGGCAGAAGCGTTTATATTAGAAAGTAGCACTAGAGCAGCTGAATTGCAAGCATCGAGTCTTAGTATATTTTCTGCAACTCGTTCTGCAATGTCAACATTACCATGAGTTTTACAGGAAGCGAGTAGAGTTTTCCATGTATTAATGTCAGGGTCAAATCCCGTTTTCTTAATAAAATTCTCTGCTTCATACAAGCATCCAGCACGAGCGAGCAAATCAACCAAGCAAGAAACATGCTCTCTTGTTGGTGCAATTCCTAGTTCCACTTCCATGGTTCTGTACAAGTGCCAACCTTCCTCCACCAATCCAATGTGACTGCAGGCACTGAGAACCCCCACATATGTGACCTCATTAGGCTCAACACCAAGATTCCTCATCATTCTAAAGAAATTAAGAGCTTCATGGCCAAGTCCAAACTGAGCATAGCCAACAATTAAACTACTCCACGAGACAATATCTGGGTTTTGGGTTGAATCAAAAACATCACGAGCATGTTTAAGTGATCCACACTTTGCATACATGTCAATCAATCTATTGCGGACGGAAACATCAACCACTAGCCCACTTTTAATAGTAAAGCAATGGACTTGATTCCCAACCTCTAGAGATGACAATTCTGCACAAGTTCCTAATATGGTAGTTATGGTGATACTGTCAGGTTTATTTTCAGAAAAGAGCATTAACTTAAATAATCTAAAAGCCTCTCTTGCATGTTTGTGTTGCAAGCATGCTGATAGAATTGAATTCCAAGAAACTAAATTGGCTCTTCTACCCAAAAATGTGAAAACATTGAATGCATCATGTAGATTTGAACACTTTGTGTACATCGTCAGCAAAGAGTTGCATACAGCTGCTTCCTTATCTAAACCTACTTTAATAATGTAAGAATGCATTTGCATGCCTTGGTTACGTGTCAAAAAGCTCCCACAAGGACAGAGTAAGGAGAGAAAAGTAATGTCATCTGGCATGAATCCTGTATGCATCATCTGGCGAAAAAAAGATACTGCTTCATTAACATGACCACTGTTAAATCCGGGCTTTCAATTTGATAAAATGCCCTTTCTGCCAAAGGTAAGAATCCAAATTTTGCATACATGTCACAGAGGGAGCACCCGGCGAAAATGTTTCTCCCTAAACCAAATTTAGCGCAGACTCCGTGAATTTGCCTTCCAAATTCAGGTTCTAGAAGGCTTCCACAAGCACTGAATACACTGCCAAATATATACTCATTTGGTTGGTAAACAGATTGCCTGAGCATATCTCCGAAAAGATATAAAGCTTCTATGTCATTACCAAGTTGAGTATACCCTGTAATCATAGAAGCCCAGGAAATTAAATCTTTTGTGGAAATCATGGCAAACACACTTGAGGCAGGTGCAATTTGTCCAAACTTTGTATACATTGAGATAAGAGCGTTTTGTGCAATTAAGTGATGATCATACCCGGATTTAATGACATGACCATGCAGTTGTCTGCCTAAGTCTATATTTCCCACAATGCAGCAAGCCTTAATAATGCTTCCAAATGTAAACTGGTCTGGGAGATAACCTGATCGCAGCATTTGAATATACATGATAATGGCATCATTCTCTTCATCATTCTGCATGTATCTGGAGATCATTATAGTCCAAGAGACCACATTACGCAGCTTCATTGCATTAAAAACTTTTCTAGCATCCTTCAAAGAACCACATTTTCCATACATATTAAGAATATGATTTTGGAGAACAAGGTCTGGCTGACACTTGGATTTTGAAATGTGATCATGTATTTTCTTGCCATAATTTAGAGATCTAATGTTGGTACAGGCCAGTATTAGATTCGCGTACGTGCTTGGTTCTAGCTGGATACCTGATTTCTCTAGATTGAAATCAAATGCATCAAGTGCTTCTTTGTATTGCTGTTTCTTGCACATCAAGTTTATGTAACTGTTGGTTGATAACTCTGTACTGAGACTGGAGACTACTCGTGTTGATACAATAGGTCTTGTACAATTGTATACACATCGAATTTGGCTTTGAATGATCATATGGACAAGGGATATTGAAAAAGCAAGTGAAGTTCTTATTGTTGAGAATATTACTGGGTGATATGGTGTCAGGAGGATAATGAAATGGTCACAAATGGGTGTTTGTGATTAATGAAACAAAAAATCCACAATTAGACGAACCCACTGAAAATACTTATGTAAAGCCGGGTATTGAACGAAAATCAAGAAATTGCATGATTATAAACTAGTACCTGGGCTAAAGCCTCCATCTTGATTTACCCATCCCTATCTACGTGAGCTAAGGAGTCAAAAGCCATCAACCACCAGAGTTTGATGTTCTCTTGTCAGAAATTTCATTGTCGACAACAATGATATAAAAATAGACACCAAAGGGAATCCACAAATCCAAGAACACCAGAGCCACGACAGTAGGAAAAAATGTTACGAACTTTGTTTGATCAGACAGACAAACAGACATGAAATGTCAGCCAATTCATCACCAAACCATGTGGAGAGATTGTCTCTGCAGGAACCAAACGTAATTATATGATTTGTTCCACAAGACATTGTTTCATAAAAATCATACGCCGTCATCTATAATGGCCAATGAGAAACCCGTTAAATTTGTTCAACTAACAAAACTATCTAATACTTATTAAATATTAATGCGTAAAAGATGAAAACGAGCAATGTCACATACTGTCAAAATATCTTCCTAGTAGCTCGTCGGGGCCATTTTTCAAACAGTTGGTATGCAAAATAACTGCACTGTAAAATTAGAGATCAGGTAGTGTGGAAAATAATGTCTGTTAGTCTGTCTAAACTTTTGAATTTGCCACTAAAATGACGGGTGAATTCTGATTCAAGAGGTTTAACTAACTGGAACGTGCTAGTGGTGAAAGTTGAAGTTACGAGTTTTCATAAAAGGAAAATAAATTGCGGGAACAGAACACGATAAGAGGGAATTACAGAGATAATGGAAAGCGGGAAAGTGCAAGATGGGATAATAAAAAAAAGATGAAGTTGAAATTTTTGAAGGTTCAATGAAGACAGAAAGCGGCAGTACCTGAACTGAAACAGGGTGACCCATCTTAAATATGTTGTTTCTTCTGACCCTGTTTCTCTCAGAAGAAAAAAGATTAGAACTTGAAGATCATAGTTGCTTGCAGCAGCAAACCCTCTTTCTCTTTTTCTTCTTGTGAAGAGCGAAATCAGATCTTGCCAAATGCTATGGGAGGGTAGTTTGAATTACAGGACCACCAGCTTCTGCTAATGTTAGGACTTGCCACTTGGTCTGGTAACAATGGCCATCTTCAAGCAATCAAAACCAAATTAACCTAGTCAACGATGATGCTGCGGTAAATCAATTTTATAACTTGCGAAATATTAAAAAATGGTAGAAAATGGATCCTTATTAATGTTTGTATGAATAAAACAAAAACAAAATTAGATGATAAGGATGTGGTAGAGAACTCACAATTTTTTAATTTTACTCGTCTTTATTCAGGATATTGATTCAATGGTGTCAGTTTTTGTAATAACAGATGCCAGTGTGAAAGAAAAACACTGATCACTGCTACCGATTCCTTAAAATGCAAACTCACTCCAACTGAACCTGGATGCAATTCTGGACACATTTTCTTCCTTCTCCCAAACTTCTCAAACAAACACTGCAACACATCCATGGCAAATGCGTAAGTTACTTCTTCATTCTCCGTCGTATGAGATTTATTCATGAATTATTAATTGAAACAGGTTCTGTCACTCCTCTTCGTCATTCAGCGGCGTGCAAAAAGCTCGTATTCCCCCCCTAACTTCCACCTCCAAGCCACCTCCTCTTTTCGACAGAACCACCAGGTTCTTCTTCTTCTTCCTGATTTTTGTGCGGATTACTATGTTTTTTAAATATTTGTTTTGAATTTTGTTACAGGTTGTATATCAGTTATCTTTGTCCCTATGCGCAGAGTGTTTGGATCACTCGGGACTACAAGGTCATTTATTATTTTAAGTAATCTACAACTGCTACTATCTTTGGTATTCGATTTACAAGTGAATACTTCATTTGTACTTTCTATAAAATGTCATACATAATAAAAGGTGAAGATGCCAAAAATAAAAAATACAAATACCACTGCATTCTTCTTGCTTAAATTATTAAACATCAGAATCTGATGTTTCAGATATTAGTTGCGCCGCTGAGATTGACTTAGGCCATTTTTGCTGCTACTCTAGAGGATCAATTTTTAATTTACTCTTTAATTCATGGTATTCTGTGAGTCATAGGTTGTTGTCTTTTATAATTGGTGATTGATTTGGGTTTACTGCATGCAGGGACTACAAGACAAGATCGAACTGGTTGCCTTTGATCTCCCAAACAGGACTGCCTAGTATAAGGAGAAAGTCTACCCAGAAAACAAGGTGTTTGTTTAACTTGCTTATTGAATGAGGAAAAATTATTAGTCCATGATCGGGTATTCAATTGTGATTTTCTGCTGATGTTATAGGTACCATCATTGGAGCACAATGGGATGGTCTTGGGAGAAAGTCTCCATTTGATGAAATACATAGAGGACAATTTCGAAGGTCCATCACTGATTCCCCAGTGTAATAACTACATATCCTTTCTCTCTTTGCCTTTCTATTTATCGTTTAGCAAGGAGTTGTCTTGAGAAGATCTTTTTTCAGGATCCTGTCAAGAAAGAATTTGGTGAGCAGTTGATTTCTTATGTTGATACTTTCTCCAAAGAGCTGTATTCATTGAAAGCAGATCCGATACAACAAGCCAGAAAGTCCGGTTTTGGGTATATAAATAGAGGAAAGTGTTGTTGGAGTCCGTATGAAATTAATTTTCAGAATTGGTGATTCTAATCAGGTCCTGCTTTTGATTACTTGGAGAATTCTCTTGGTAAATTTGATGATGGTCCATTCTTTCTTGGTCAATTTAGCTGGGTAAGTTGAAATCTTGAAAATGTTCCTTTTCAATTGACTGACCTATCCTCCTGCAAGAAATTCTAGCAAAAAAGCGCATAATGATGCGATGGAACAAAGTATTAAAGTAGTCATGGCTCAAGTTACAAGATAAATGGTATGGGCTATGATTATATTCTCCCGTATGATTTTTAAATGCTTGTGATGATCAGGTGGTTATTGCCTATGTTCCATTTGTTGAAAGATTCCAGCTCTTCCTTTTTGAGTTGTTCAAACATGATATAACTGAAGGAAGACCTAAACTTGCATCGTGGATTGAGGTACACTAGAAGCAGTTCTATGTAAATTATTTTCCAGTTCCAAGGAATTTGTACCGCTATATGTTGTTTTATGTTACTGGTTTGTTTCCTATCATAATCATCAATCTGAGCTTGAAGAGAAAACCTCATATGCTTTGTAACAAGTGGAAACAGAATGTCTCTGATCTTTCTCATGCCTTTGACAATGGAGCCTCAAGACCAACTGCTTCAAACTTGCTGGTTACAGAAGATATATTCATTTGTGAAAATATGTTTCTTGTGCAGGAAGTGAACAAGATTAATGTGTATACACAAACAAGAGGTGATCCAAAGGATATTCTTGATCTTTTCAAGAAACGGTTATTGGTATCTAAACAACATTCACACTCTTCTCAAGATTGAGTTTTTGGCATAATTGTCGTTGATTTCTGCAATTCTTCCTATTGTATTTGCTACTGTGTTGAACTTCCTAATTTTGTGCCCTGCAGGCTCAACAGTAAAAGCCAGGACATCATCACCTAAGATTTAGATTATTGGCAATAAAGTTTTATGTGTGTGCATAGGACTTTTCTTTTGGCCGCTAGAGTCGATGATAAGCGTTGGTTTGAATGCTAGAGTTGCTGCAAAAAAATTGATTTCAAGGTTTAGGTGTTTGCGTCGGCGCTTTTTATGATGAGTTGCATGCATGGTATATCCTATGATTGTTATGTTTGGATGTGTAATATCTTATAAACTAATTGTTTTTATACTCTCCCCACCACGGAATTGTCATTATGCTGTTTTATTTGAAGTAATATATAAACTTTCGTATAAAGTATATGTATAAAAAAGAATAGTGTGGTGAACTTATGGAGATTAGTACGGAAATAATAATAATCAGTGGTATGTTTACTTCTTTTTTTTATAATAATAAAATTATAGTTATAAAAATAAATTTAAATGATTTTTACAGGATTGTTTTTTATAATAATAAAAATTATTTTTAAAATAATAAACTACAGTAAAATTATAGTTTTATTTATTTTGTTGATAGTTTTTTTGTTATAAATAGTTTATTTTAATTTAAAAAATGATTACATTTTTTAAAAAAAGCTGTCAAATAAAAAATATAACTTAAAAGATAAAATTAACAATGTAATTAATTTAGTTTAAGAAAGTGTTACTTATTAAAGAATAAAATTGAAAAAAACAATTGTATACATTAATAGAGTGAGTCCTCGTATATATAATAATAATAATAATAATAATAATAATAATAATAATAATAATAATAATTTATGATAAATTTTTGTACACTAATAGAGTGAGTCATGATAATAATTATGTTATCTAATTAATAAAAGATGTAAACTCATTTTTGGTGAATAAACAGATTGCTCGATCATATCTCTGAAAAGATATAAATCTTGTGTCATTACCAAGTTGAGCAAACCCTGTAATCATGGAAGCCTAGGAAATTAAATCCTTCGTGGAAATCATGGCAAATACAACCGAGGCATGTGCAAGGTGCAATTTGTCTAACTTACAAAACTAACTAATTTACTTGTTAATATTAAGGCGTAAAAGATGAAAATGAACCATGTTGCAGACTGCCAAAATATCTTCCTAGCAGCTCTTTGAGGCCATTTTTCGAACTGTTGGTATGCAAAAGAACGGCATTCTAAAATTCAAAATAAGTGTGGAAAACAATGAATGTTTGTCAGTATAAACTTATGAAAGCCAATCACGCAATACGTTACGCCAAAAACAATGAAGAGGTTTCTTAACCTCGTTCACCAAATAATATAGTAAAAAAAGATAATACCTGAATTAATTCCTCCTTTTACATTCCCCACAAAAATGACGGGTGAATTCAGATTCAAGAAGTCTAATTAGCTGGAGCATGCTAGTGGTGAAAGTTAAAGTTACGAGTTTTGATAAAAGGAAGAGAAATTGCGGGCACAGAACATAATAAGAGGGAATTACAGAGAGAATGGAAAGTGGGAAAGTGTAAGATGGGATAAGAAAACAGAGATGAAGTTGACATTTTGGAGGGTTCAATGAAAACAAAAAAAAAAACATTACCTGAAGCGAAACAAAGCGGAAGATTTCAAATATGTTGTTTCTTCTGACCCTGAACTCGAAGATCACAGTTACTTATAGCACCAAACCCTCTTTCTCTTTCTCTTCTTGCGAGGACGGAAATCAATTCTTGCCAAATGCTATGACAGGGCAGTGTTTGGATTCAAGGGTGAGTTTAGAATAAGCCAGAAGCACATCATACAAAAAAAAAAAAAACCCACGTAACTATTGCCAAGTTTTAGAACAGAGAAGGTGGCTTCAATTTGTTGTATAGAATGCTCTTTGATGCTGCCGTGTAGGAAATATTAAAAAATAGTAATGAATAAAATAAGTGATGAATAGGAGAATCTCACTCCTTATTCATGTTTGTATATATAAATTAAAAATAAAATTAGATGGTAAGAGAATTCATAATTTTTTTAATTTTAGATCAATGGTGTCAGAGTTTTCTAGAAGCTGGGAGAGACAGGTGACAGTAGGAAAGCAAAACATTGATGACTGCAAGCGATTCCTGTACTTGATGTGGTCCTATAAAATGCAAACACACTCCAATTGAACCTGGACGCCATTCTGTACACATTTTCTTTCTGTGCCCAAACTTCGCAAGCAAACATCACAACACATCCATGGCAACTGCGTAAGTCACTTCTTCATTCTCCATCGCATGAGATCTGTTCATGAATTATGATATGCAACTACTTTTAATTTGAAAACGATTAACTGTTTCTCCTCTTCCTCATTCAGCGGCGTGCAAGAAGCTCGTATTCCCCCGCTAACTTCCGCTTCCGAGCCACCTCCTCTTTTCGACGGAACCACCAGGTTCTTCTTCTTCTTCTTCTCCCGTATTTTTGTGCTGATTATTATATTTTTTTAATATTTGTTTTGAATTTTGTTATAGGTTGTATATCAGTTATATTTGTCCCTATGCGCAGCGTGTTTGGATCGCTCGGAACTACAAGGTCTCTCTCCTTTTCCTCTTTCTGAAATGATCTATTCAGTGTTCACCTTCGTTTTAATTAATCTATTACTGCTATTATCTTTGTTATTTAATTTACAAGTGAATACCTTCATTTGTCCTTTCTCTAAAATGTTATACATAATAAAAGATGAAGATTTCAAAAATAACAAAATCAAAACACCACCGCCTTTTATGTAGAACTAATATGTAGAACTAATATTCTGATGTTTCAGATATTACTTTGGCCACTGGGATTGTCTTATGCGATTTTTGGTGCTACTTTAGAGGATCATTTTAAATTTACTCTTTAATTCATGGTATTCTGTGAGCCATAGGTCGTTTTCTTTCAAGATTGGTTATTGATTTGGGTTTACTGCATGCAGGGACTACAGGACAAGATCGAACTGGTTCCTATTGATCTTCAAAACAGACCTGCCTGGTATAAGGAGAAAGTCTACCCAGAAAACAAGGTGTTTGTTTAACTTGCTTATTGAATGGGGAAAAATTATTAGTCCATGATGGGGTGTTCAATTGTGATTTTTTTTTCTTATTTATAGGTGCCGTCATTGGAGCACAATGGGAAGGTCTTGGGAGAAAGTCTCGATTTGGTCAAATACGTAGATGTCAACTTCGAAGGTCCATCTCTGGTTCCCAGTGTAAGAACTGTATATTCTTTCTCACTTTGCATTTCAATTTATGGTTTAGTGGGAAGTTGTCCTCAGAAGGATTTTTTTCAGGATCCTGCCAAGAAAGAATTTGGTGAGCAGTTGATTTCTTATGTTGATACTTTCACCAAAGAGCTATATTCTGCATTGAAAGGAGATCCAATACAACAAGCCAGTAAGCACGGTTTTGGGTTTATAAGTAGAGGAAAGTATTGTTTGAGTTCGTATGAAATTAATTTTCAGAATTGGGGATTTTAATCAGGTCCTGCTTTTGATTACTTGGAGAATTCTCTTGGTAAATTTGATGATGGGCCATTTTTTCTTGGTCAATTTAGCTGGGTAAGTTGAAATCAATAGTCTTGAAAATGTTCCTTTTCAATTGACTGAATTATCCATCTGCAATAAATTCTAGAAAAAAAGCACATAATGATGTGATGGAACAAAGTATTAAATTAATCAAGGCTCAAGTGTAAATAAAGTATAAGATTAATTATATGGCCTATGACTACATTCTCCGATATGACCTGTAAATGCTTGTGATGATCAGGTGGATATTGCCTATATTCCATTTGTTGAAAGATTCCAGCTTGTCTTTTTCGAGGTGTTCAAACATGATATAACTGAAGGAAGACCTAAACTTGCAGCGTGGATTGAGGTACACTAGAAACAGTTCTATGTAAATTATTTTCCAGTTCCAAAGAATATGTACAGCTTTATATTCTTTTTATGTTAATGGATTGTTTCCTATCATAATCAACAATCTGAGCTTGAACAGAATGGTCCTGATCTTTTCATGCCTTTAACAAGGGAGCCTCAAGACCAACTGAATCAAACTTACTGGTTACAGAAGATATATTCATTTGTGAAAATGTTTCTTTTGCAGGAAGTGAACAAGATTAATGCGTATACACAAACAAGAGGTGATCCTAAGGATATTGTTGACTTTTTCAAGAAACGGTTTTTGGTACTGTAAACAACCTTCACACTCCTCTAAAGATTGAGTTTTTGGCATAATTGTCGTTGATTTCTGCAATTCTTCCTATTCAATTTGCTACTGTGTTGAACTTCCTAATTTGTGCCCTGCAGGCTCAACAGTAAAATCCAGAGAGTCATCATCTAAGATGTAGATTATTGGCAATAAAGTGTTATGTGTGTTTGGGACGCTTCTTTTGTTTGCTAGAGTCGATAATAAGCTGTTATAAGCATTGGTTTGGCTGATAGAGTTGCTGCAAGAAATTAGATTTCAAGATTTAGGTGATGTATATGTAGCAGCTTGGCTGGTGTTTGCGTGGCGCTTTCAATACTAAGTGGCATGGAATTATCCTATGATTATTGTGTTTGGATATGTAATTTCCTAACTAATTAATTGTCTTTTTTATATTCTCCCGATGGTGAATTCTGTCATTATGCAGATTTATTTGAAGTAATATATAAACTTCCCATCTAAAATATAATTATAAAAAAAAGTTATAAAAAAAACAGCACGGTGAACTAACGGAAATAGTAATATTTTAAGATAATAGTTTGAAAATTACAATACCTTATTTATACTTACTTCCAAATCTTATTTACGCTTATTTTAAGATAATAGTTACTTCCAAACCTACTCTCACTTATTTCCAAAATTCACTTAAATAAACAACAAAAATTTATCTTCAAATCTTTTAAAGTTCATTTAATTACTTTCCTTCAAATCCATTCAATTCCAAAATTCACTCAAATAAACTTATTTCCAAAATTCATTTAAATAAACAACAAAAATTTACCTTCAAATCTTCTTAAGTTCATTCAATTACTCTCCCTCAAATCCATTCAATTCCAAAATTCATTCAAATAAACAAAATTTATGTTTGAAGATGTCAATTGCAAGGATTCAGCTCAAGTTCATATTGGGCTACGAAAAAGATATTTAATGTTCAATTAAGCAGCTGAAAAATGCAAAATGCATAAAATGTTTATATATATATATATATATATATATATATATATATATATATATATATATTACCACAGAGCTGAATAAACTGTACAAGAAGACCAGCATAAAGAAGCAAAGGCAGGAAAATTGTCAAGATAGAAGGCACAGGAATTATGAGTCCAGCAATTTGTCTTAAATAAAATTTTGGACAAAAGGAAAAAGGTGGAGCAACTATCTTAGCTCCAGACATAATAAATGGAAGCGGTTTTGAGTACAGGACTAGAACAGAATTCCAGAATTATGTTCTATTTTTGGAACTGTACTATGAACTGAAAGAACACCACCAAAGGAGAACTGATATTAACATCTATAAACCTATACCTTATAGTTGAGAAGCCCATTAAATAATATACTTGAATATTTCTCCAGATTTTGTTGTATCCACCAAGCATGAGCTGCATATCATAGCCCCCTCCTGGTTCTAGGAGGAGTACCCGGAGCAAGGCGTGAGTTTTGGACTGTGTGTGTATTGGGATCATATTTTTGTGAAGCAAGGTAAGACAAAGCCGTTACAACATCAGCTATAACTGGACGCATGTTAGCCTGCTCCTGAACACACATTGCTGCAACAGCAAGGGCTTGGTATAGTCCTCTCGGAGGATATTGACCTTGGAGTGTTGGATCAGCCATTTGAGAAAACTTTCTTCTATCCCTAAACAAGGGTCTAGCCTGCAGTTAAATCAGAATGGTCCATCCAAAGTTATGACTCAAATAATTAAGGAGCAAGGACCAACCCATGTTATGAAATATTCTAATTTCACCACTATGAGATGTGCAAAAGCCAGTTCAATCTGAGATATGCAACTAAAAAGTTTCACAACTTTAAAAAAAATATCATCTTGAAGAGACTTTTCCTTCAAGAGGACATTTTTTTTTATGCCATTGACCCTGGCTACTTTTAAGTTTAAATGAAAATATACTTAAAGATGTTTATGACACTCAACCAAAAGCCTTTTCACTCAGCCAACCTTAGGAGATGAGATAACTGTAGGAGTGTCTTACCCATGCAACAAGATTCTGCTCTCCAGCAGATTTTGAATTGTCAATTGCTTTCCTTCCGGTAATTATTTCCAGAAGAACTACACCAAAGCTATAAACATCTGATTTCAGAGTCAGTTGACCAGTCATGGCATACTCTGGAGCACAATATCCATAAGTCCCCATAACTCTTGTTGATACATGTGTGTTCTCCCCAACTGGGCCAAGCTTAGCCAAACCAAAATCAGATAACTTTGGGTGATACCCTTCACCAAGCAAAATGTTAGAGCACTTTAAATCACGGTAGATGACAGGAGGATTAGCTTTGTCGTGTAGATATTCCAATCCCTTGGCTGCACCGGCAGCTATTCTCATTCGTGTATTCCACTCTAGTCGTTTCTTGCCAAGAGGAATGTCTGCAAATCAAACATATATGATCACTAACAACATGAAGATGATATTCAATTTACCGAAATGGGGAAAAACTTGCGTAGTTGGAATACAAATACCATGCAAGTGGTCTTCCAGGGATCCTAACGGCATAAATTCATAAACTAGAAGCCTTTGATCTCCATCAGCACAATAACCAATAAGGTTGACAAGGTTTGGATGATGAAGTAGACTTAACATCAGCACTTCAACAAGGAATTCCCTATTTCCTTGGAGCCCATTTCGGTCGAGTTGCTTAATGGCAACAACCTATATTGAACACAATAAAGGATGAAGCTTGTTAGAAACTGCTACACAAAATGTATGCAGAGTTTCATGTCAGCAAAACTTAATCTATTGTTCTGGCTGTCAGAAGATATATCTGTGCAGATGAAGAACATTGACATAGGGAAGAATCACTCGAATTCTCAGCAACTCTCCTATTTTTCATAAACAAATAGAAAAGAGATTCACCTGATTAATACTTTCCAGACGCCCTTTGTACACTCTACCAAAGCCTCCCTCTCCCAGAAGACACTCAGCTCTAAAATTTCTAGTTGCAGTTGCCAACTCGCGAAATGAGAATGTCTGTGCTGCAATGTGATCAGGGTTCCCATTTTTTGATGTATCTTTTGAATTTGTGGATGTATTTCTCTTCAACTTTCCTGCATTCAAGCAACAAGAAAAATATTTAAGGGCAGAAGCACAAGCTACAGCAGGGTTATATTTGACTTCAAAATACCATCACATGTTAAAGCAATCTCATGGAATCACAAACTGATTCTGCATGCATTACGCATCATTTTGAATTTACCATCAACATTACAAATTCAAACTTGCTATATATACTTTGTAACTGATGAAATCACCAGACTCAAAGAAAACAAGTCTAGTATTGTTCAGAAAACTAACAAGATAATTTCAGGTACATGGAATATTATAGACTGAAACTTGGTGCAGTAGCACACACCATCAAGAAAATGTATCCAAGACAGTAAGAAAAAAACATTCTTAAACGACTCAACACAGAGATCAAAATGATAACTCATTCTACAAATCCAAATCACACTAGCACTAAAGGCTTTGGTTAGGATATATATAACTGAAAACAACATATTACTAGATCGTACGTTTGCAGCTTCCACCCCTCCTACTCTCAAAATCATTCGTTTTGCTATTAAATAAAAAGATTGCAATCATTGACCACGTCAAATCCCAGCTACCTATACTCATAAACTCTAAACACCAAGAACAGCAATCGGGTGTACCAAACACATAAAACGCCCTCAAATTTTATTTCTTGATAACCCCAAGTAAAACAAGAGACAAATTTGTGCAAGAAACAAGTGTCTAGCCCCAGAAACTACCTTAATTAAGTGAAAGAACAATTGTCTCCAACAGGGTCTCACTATCATACTTCAATTTTCTCCCTCTTTTCCAATATAGAAAGAAAAGTACCTGGTGTGGCTTTGATCTGACCAACGAGACTGTCCTGAACTTCCATCTTATCAATCTTGTTCTTAGTGCCTGAATATCCAGAACAGGGAATCCAACCCATGTTTGTTTCTCCTTCAATGAACGCAGCACCGTGATCAGAAAGAAAATGAAACGGCAAATAACTCTCTCTGGACCCGACCCGACCCGACGACACGGTTCTTGGGCAGCCAACTGCAACAAAAACAACTTAGAAAACAGCCTTTGTTCTTTCTCTCTCTATGTTTACTTTTATCATGTGTCTGTGTCTTGTGTTCTATATTTTCTGTTTTTATATTTCCCTAGTGTTTTAGGTTGAGTTCATTAATTTATTCATTGCCTTCTCTTTTGGTCGGAAAAACACCATGATTGGTTCAAATGCGCCTCACTGGATCACCTCCAAAATCAACTCCAAAACCAATCTCATAAAAAAATTATATATGTTTCCCCTTTTTGTCTAAACATAAAATAATTGCTTTGATATTAAGTTAATTTCTGTCATGCTTGGCACTTCTATTTGCCCTCTACACACCGCTTAAGATCTACAACAAGAATCTATAAAATTAGATGCTTTGTGCTTTTGTTGGAACAATTTCCTACTTGCCATTTTAATGAAAAAGCAATAAGGTTCATTTAATTTCAACATGTGATGCAATTTAAGTCTAACTGAATGATAAAGAAAATATAAGATTAACTTGGTAAAAATTAAAATGAAAATGGAAAAGTTATGAATTCAATTCTTCTATTAATATTTAAAAGATAAATCATTTAAAAGAAAAAAAAAATATAGATTCAACTCCTTTACTAAAAAAACTATCATCAGACTTTTAAGGATAAAAAAAATCTGAATGATAAAAATTTGGCCGCCCTCACAGTTCAACTTTAGGCACACAAATGAATAAGGGCTAACAGCTGTAGACCTTAATTAAAGACATTCCTATAATTATTACAAAATGGGGTCATGTTTTCTTTCATTCTATCCCTTTTGGTCAATAATGGAAGTAATTCATTGGAGGGAAACAAGATTTTGTTTTACCAAATGCCCTTTTTTTCCTTTTCAAAACCATATTCAAGAGGAAAATTAAGAGACTAGGCCAAGCTTGGATTCTTCTTTTTGTCCTCTCACATTACTTTGCTTCATAATTCTCATTATTTCTATGCCAATCATTTTATTTTTCTACCTTTATTCTTCTTGTTTTACATTCATTCCATTCACGGAAAAAGGAGTGTAAGATAGTTACTGCCACATTTAATTCCCTTAAGAAAATAATGAAAATATTTCAGTATGGATAGAGACTTTGCTTCTAAAAAATCTATTACTCGGAGACAGCTGGTAGTAAACCCTCTCTACTAAAGTGCCATCTGTTTTTGCAATGCAATCATATATATATATATATATATATATATATATATATATATATATATATATATATATATATATATATTAAAAACACATATAAGTATAAGTTACTGTTTTGCACTTCAATTTTTATTTTCTTTGGTGGATCATGGTTGTGGCAATTGCCATTTTAGTTCTAAATTATAGCTATATTAATTGAGATGGGGACAATGGGTTTTCTAAGATGGAAATAGTTAGTTTCTTACGAGTAAGAACATTAATATGGGCTTCAAAACAAACATGCTTATACACATAATAACTATGAGAAACACTTTTTTTTTTTTTTTATGAAAATGCATCAAAAGCTTATCATTCAAGATATCAGATATATAATATCATATGTCAAAATGTTGTTGAACATTTCGGGTCAAGATGAATTATTTTTATCCAACAATGTCAATTAATTGGGTGAATCTAGTTTTATACAAATAAAACTAAACTAAGATATGTTATAAAGTTTTGAAAGTATACTTGTTTTCTATTTATCAACTTTGTAATTAATTAGTACTATCATCCATATGATTTATAAATAAAAAGATCATTCGTTTTTACTAATAAGCAAAAATTCTCACTTAACATAAATATGTCACTAATATTTCTTTCTATATAGTTAATGAGAAACATATATTTGTTTCCTACATATAATTTTTGCAACCAGTATAATCATTCATGTGCTTTATAAGCAAAAGTCTCTTCTTAATTTTCTGCATAAACAAAAAGTTTTTCTTAACTTAACATGTCACTATTATTATGAATACTTTTGACATTTTATAGTAGTCCTTTTGTTAATATGATAATTAATAATCACTGTATCTTCTATTAAGAAATGTTATTGGGTGATTATGTTGTTATAACTCTCAATTTACGTAATGTTTCAAATCACTGAAAGGGCTAGATGAAAATAACTTTTCTGTTGTGAGGGCAACAAATTGAACTCTCGAAACGTATTAATAATTCATCAATTTGTCATTATTTTTTCTATTTTCATGTCTCTTATTTATTGAAGTAATGGTAATTAATCAAAATCATACCAATTCAAAGTATTTAAGTAAAAAAATATTAAGACCAATTTGGTATATTAAGCGTCTACACATATTAACAACAAATAATTAATTGAATTCTTCAATAATAGAACAATTCTAAATATTTCATAAAACTTTAAGCACGTATTTGGATTGAACGTTGGAAACAATATAAATAAAAGGTATTTGATCTTCCAGCATAACATATTAAGTTCCACTTGATTTTCTCTTTTATAGTTATGAAAAAAAAAACATGAATAATACATAGGTGCTTATAAATGAGACAATAAACCCCTTTATAGAAAAAGTAAACTTTATCGATTACTTTTTCTAAAAAAATATATATATATTTCTAATTTGGCCTCTTATAAAAATAGAATATTGCATATTGTATCTACACAACTAATATTTCATAATACTTATGTTGTTAGACATACATATAATTAATTACCATTTTAATATTTTATATATTCTTATAAAACTTTATAAATGTATATGTTAGATTATGAACTCAAATTTGTCATTATATGTCTTGAGCATGTTCAAAAAGATTTTGTTCATTGATTACATATGCAAATAGAATCAAAACAGGTTTTTATTGCATTAATCACAACTAAACATAATAATGATAGCTAATGCTGACAAAATTAAATGACATAGACTCATCATGAAATATATAGCATACATATTACAAGAAGGTGACATGTCCATATCTATTTTCAACTGGTTCTTACTTGATCTCAATGAGATCAATATAATAACCTTAATATACAAAATGTAATTTCGAAATAATAAACCACATATCTATAAAATCAAATATGTTCAAAAGATAATGTATGCATACATAAAATCAAACATAGAACACAATATATAAAAGTGACTAACTCCAACTAAACTAAAGATTCCTCAAACTCTAAACTACCCATAACATGCTCATGAAAGACCTTGGACATAAGTCCCTTAGCAAGAGGATCTACTATCATGAAGTTTGTCCCTAAGTATTATATGAATATCTGTCCACTATGTACCCTTTCTTTAACAATCAAGAACTTGATGTCAATATGCTTTGACTTGCTCGAGCTCTTGTTGTTGTTAGAATACAATACGATATTGTCACAATATAACTTAATTCCTTTTATAATGAGCAACCTTGTAACAAAGTTCTTCAACCATATTTTTTGATTTGATGTCTTATAGAATGCTACAAATTTTGGAGTCACAGAAGATGAAGTTGTAAGGGTTTGCTTGACATTGCACAAATAAACTATGAAAGTATAACCTAAACTTGTCTTGGCATCCTGCAAAATCTTAATCAGAATACTCAGTAATCTTAATCAGAATACTCAGTAATCTTTAACTGGTCTAACCTCCTGTATGTGAGCATATAATTCTTTGTTCTTTTGAAATATCTCATAACACTTTTAGTTGCTTTCCAATGATATATTCTTGAATTGCTTAAATTTATGTCTAAGACACTATATGCTATATTTGTACACTTACATAATTAAGCATATATCAAAGTCCCTATAATTGAAGCATAAGGTTCATACCACAACCGCTAGTATAGAGTGTTCTTAAAATTAAATATATATTTTTTAAAATTTGACGAACTCCATAACAGTTGTTCCTTACACAACTGCTGCCAACCCATATATGCTCTTAGTTATAAATATAATTAATTACATCACTTTAATATTTTCACTAATAATATAACGGTCTAACCCATTTAATTCTTTATTTTATATATATATATATATATCAGGACATGAGTGAGTGAAGCATGATTTCAATTGTTCACATCGAACTCTATATTCTTAATTGAATTAACTGATATGAACCATGGTTTGTTTGTGAAGTGGATTTTTTCTTTTGGAAAATGTGAAACTGTCATTTTTCTTTCATATGTAGGTGATGACTATTAACATGTATTGAACAAGAAAGTATCACCTAAACTATTACATATAAGAAACAAATCGATCTCCATAGCTAATACTGTATATATATAATACAGATTACCAGCACATAAGAAAGTATCAACGAGCTGCCCTAAACATCTTTGTCTCAGTAGGTATTGCATTTGAAATTGTCAATATCTTGGTCTTTCTTATCAACTTCAATTATTGGATATAACAGTAATGAATTTTCTCAATTATTTCTGATGCCTGTGGCACTGTCATTGAGTCATACTTGTTAACTAATTGAAGTGTCTATCAATCATGCTTTATCTTTACAAAGAGAAGCCTGTGAGTCTCTCTCAGAGGCCACATTTCCTGTGTTCTTGAGAGGCATATCATGATTGTGTTTTCCTTCATATGTGGTCACAAATGATCTCGGGTCATCTATTGCTCTCTCCACGTGTTTACGAACGTTGCACTTTACATTAGTACATCTGTAGTAGCTTCTGCAAAACAAAATTATTTCACATGTTCTAAGAAAACATTATTAAATAATCAGTAGTAATTTGAACAGGAACTCAAACTCACGAGTCCTTAATTTCAAGGAATCTTGAAGCAGATAATTTAAATTATAGTTACTTTGATGAGAACATGAAGTATAATAATAAACCTGGGATATGGATTGCCCTTCACCACCTTCTGCCCGTATTTCCTCCAGCGAAATCCATCTCCAAGTATTTCAGAATCAGTGAAACTTTGCATCACAATCCGCGGCTCTACTAAACCTTCCTCTGATAATGCTACTTCATTAGATAGATTCTCATTTTTCCTGAACAATGAGATTCAATATATAAATTATCTTCTGACTAAAAATGGTGAATGACGAGATAAAACAATATTAAAATTGTACTAACATGTTACTTGATGAACAGTAACTGTTTTTGGACAGGATGCACAGGAAGGATGGCCTGGATCATGTTACCCAAAATGTTATGAACTTAGTAAAGGCTTTTTATAGGATCAAGTATGTTTTTTGAATTTATAGAACAAAATAAGAACAGAACTTTTTTAGAAAGACTAAAACTTTACCCTATATTAGTATGCTTTTATGCATTGATTCATTGCACA